CAAGTAAGCGAAAACGGGAGAGTGAGGGAGATCCTTACTGCTTTACATCATGACCACATGATTAGCGTTGTACCCCCCGGCATTTACTCCTAGTGATGTCATGCGCGAGACGGACGAATTTGAGTCACTTAGTGACGAGACCTGTACTTATATATACCTTGCCTCATGGCAGGTTTGATCGATCTGCCTAAGCCACGACTTCCTAGGTCGTCCCACACACCTCTTCCACCCAGGGCTGTCTCGAACAAAGATAACCTTGTAGGCAGCATCATCCTGAGGAAAGTGAACCAGGTGGCCATATAGCCTGAGTTGGCAACCAAGGGATTGTGCAGGTAACAGGTCCTGTGACAGTCTCATGGTGCAACCGTTGGTTTGACACATGGTCCAGCCAACAGTACCCAATGATTCAGCGCAAGGACCTATTACAAAAAGCATCAAGACGAGATTCCAGGTTTCACTACCATATAGCAAAACTGTCATTATCAGAGCCTTGAAGATGCGTAGCTTGGTTCTTCACAGGTACCGGCATCTGCAAATACTCTTGTCGAGAGAGTTCATGACCCCTGCTGCCTGGCCAATCCGTCTGCTGACTTCATGGTCTGACAATCCGGAGTTATGAACTACACTACCAAGGTATGTAAAGCTCTCTGTAACTTCAATGTCCTTGCTGCAAGCACATACCGACCGAGCAGGTTCTCCTAGCAAGTCCCCAAAGTCCTGGATTTTGATCTTGGTCCAGGAGACCAATGCATCTGAAGCCACCACTAGGGATTCAGGAAAGTCAAAGTCGGTAACCTTGATATTGCCCAGAGTTGCTCCACAATGATCCTTAGTAGCTCTGCCCATTATCCAGTCCATGCAAGTGTTGGAAAGTGTTGGTGCAAGGACACAACCTTGCCTCACTCCTGAACTAACAGGAGAGAAGCTCGACAGCCCCCCCCCCCACACACACACACACTTTACAGCACTTTCAGTACCAGTATACAGACTTGCTATTAGTCCAATAATCTCAGTCTCAGGATCTCCCAGAGTGATTCCTGAGGCACCTTATTGAACACCTTCTTGAGGTTGATGTAGACTGCAAGCAGCCCACACCCGAACTCATGACGGTACTCTATAATGACTCAAAAAAACAAGGATATGGTAGATTGTGGACTTACCAGGAGTGAGTCCAGATTACTCCGGCTTTTGATGCCTCTGTAGGTGTTCTCTGATACATCTCAGACGGATGTAGGCGAGAACCCTGGCTGTTATACTGAGCAGTGTGATGCCTTGGTGATTGCTGCAGTCCCATCGGCCCCCCTTCCCCTTCAAAAGAGGGATGACCACACCCCTCAACAGATCAGACAGCATGCAAACACCCACACCATGGGTTCATCACTAGCCTTTAACAGTTCAGCTAGGATGCTGCAGATACCTATTGCTTTACCATTCATCTTGGAGCTCCCCCCCCCCCTTAACTTCAGTTAGGGAGGGAGGATCCTCGAGACTACCCACATCCAGGTTAACTGTTGGTGGTTCAACCTGGTACAAGTGCTGAAACTACTCAGCCCAGCGCTCCCGCACTGCAACAGGATCTGAGAAGATCTGGCCACTTACTAAGCAAACTGATGTCACCTGTGAAGAGGGCTTGGAGTTCGGCTTTCTGAAGTCTTGGTATGCAGGACGAAGGTCATTTACTAAGAAATGGCCTACCGCCCCTGCAAGACTCCTAATAAACTGTTTCTTATCCCTTCCTAACAATAACCAAGTTCTGTGCATCTGAGAACAATGCAAATCCCAATCCCCTGTCAGACAAGCTGCATGACAAGCATCTGTGGCATCCAGTGTCTCCTGTGAGAAGAAATTCTGTCTTGCTCTTGGGCGTTCACCAATCGTGTTGAGCTTTATCTAGCATTTCGCGTTTGAAAGTGTCCCACAGAAGTACAAGGTCCGTCAGATTGTTGAGCGCTGCGACACAACCAATGACTGCCTCAACAAACCCCTGTGCACACTCCCTCTCTCTAAGCCTGTCCAAGTGAGACCCTATGGTGATCATTGATCACCATAGGATTCTCCAGTGAGTGCTAATGACTAAGTGGTCGATCTCCTTGGCTGCATTACCTGTATCACTGTACCACGTCCAAATCCTCAATTTCTGGGACCTTGCAAAGTCCCGGAAAAGGAGGCTATTCATGCTGCCGGCATCAGCTCCTGAACCATGGGGACCGACAGACATATAGCCAGCTCGATCACAGCCAGATACCGCATTGAAGTCACCTAGAACAATACCAATATCTCGGCGGGGAAACCTGTCAGACACATATGCTAGTTTGGCATAGAACATCTCTTTCATGTCGTTTACAAACATTGGTAGGAGCGTACACAGCAATAAGAGACATGAAGCCAAATGCTAATTTCAGTCTCATTACCATTATACGATCATCGACAGGTGTAACCTCTACTACCGAGGGCTGGCCCGACCAATAATAGTTGTAGCTACTTACACTGATGCCAGGCC